TCTTCCCTCTAACTGCAGCTCTGCGGTATCTGCTATTGTAATAATTAAAATCCTCCCGGTAGATCAATACTGGAATCTCTTTATGGGAAGTGCCCTGATGGAAATGTCTCAAGGAAGCTGGGGCTGTGGAACTCTGAAAAATTCATTTTTTTTATCTGACAATTATCACCACACTGCAGACTAATTCAACAGTGCACCCCTCTCACTCTGCTTTGAATGCACTGGAGATTGACATCTAAAAAAACCTAACATCTCATTTTAACAAATAAAGGCACTATTTCCACATACAGTTTGGAATTATCAGCAATCATGAAACCAGACAAAAAATTAATATACATTAAGCACTTCATCTTCTGATGGCTTCCTCTGAGTCTCAGTTATCGCAGCCTTCTCCTCATTTCCTCTCTTTGTATCTTCCTGTATTGATCTCTGCCTTTTCATCTCTTGAAAAAAGGGAAAAGACATGTAAAATTATTATAAAGCTTGATATTTATGTATTGAAATGTGGACTTACATTATCGGGTTTTCATATATTTATTGTTAAATATTATTAAATCATAAGACGGGAAAACAGGTTTTATATTTTCTCCTACCTGGTCTGCTCTCCACGTATTGACTGAAAGACTGGAGCTGAGTTTTTCTGACGGCAGAGTCCTTGCTGAACACAACAGGATTTCTAAACCGTTCTGCTGCTTTTTGTAATCGCTCAGCACGATGTTCCTCTGTTCCATTCTGCTAGGGAAAAAATCAGACACACAACAGTTTCTTTTGTTTACAAACGGGAAGACACAAATTCGAGAGGTACGTTTCGGTGAGGGGACAGGACACAGCTTTTGCAAAGAGGCTTTCACAACTCAGGCTGCGGTTTATATAGGATGAAAGTATCAGCTGTGGAAAAAAGAAGAGTGATTAACTTTTCCCTGCTTCTGTTTAATGTGTGGTGGCAACGCCTGGCTTTTTGCTGTATGTGGGCACCCTCCTGCAGGACTCTCTACTTAAACAGCCAGACTTATTAATTGTGACGGGCATTTGCCAGCGATGCTGATTTTAAAGGAAAAAAATCACAATCACTCCTTTGCAACTTTGATTTGCCAAGCACTGCGCCTGCTGCTGCCAAGTAGCGGCGTCTCTACCCCTGAACATGATCTGTATCGTTTTAAAAGCGTGTTGCCTTTAGCCTGTCTCCCTGCCCGGTAAAGAAATCTGTCGTTTTCTGTAGTCCCACAGACTTGTATGACAAGAAGAACTAGTTTCTAATTTTATGCCCATTGAGATAAACCACTAATGCTGGATGAAGGCTAAAAGGTAGGATTATAATACTACCCCACTGAACTGCATTTCATCAGCTATAACTTTCCAAAGCCAGATTTGTAAGTAAGCCCTTTACAGCTAAGGAAACTACAATTATCTTTTCCAGGGCTTCCTATGTTAATACTGGTAACAAATTCAAATGATTCTATCAACACAAAATATCCCAGAAGACTGAACCACCGCAGTGTGTGGAAGCTGCAGATACCGAGGTGCTGTGTACCAAACAAATATTTCATTTTATACCTAATCTTTTATTATTTTTATTAAGTGTTTTGAAAGTAAATAGGGAAAGGCTAAGATGCATGACTAATAGCTAAGCCTGCTGAATGCTGAAACTGGTTATCAAAAGCTACCAAGACTTTGCCCTTCCTCTGCATTGAGACAATTGGTAATGAGGGAGTTCTCCAATGGCCTATTCTCTAGCCTCAAGGAGGCCGGGGATACACAATCCCCAAGGGAAGGTAACAGTTTATCCTTTTCCACAAACACAGAATGCCTCATTTAGAAACGTGTAAACTGCATTTTATTAAAAAACAAATCCACCTCAATGCCAAGAGCTCCATGAGAACAGATGGACACCATATATTCCTTATAATGCCGCTTTCCAACTCCTCCTTAGAAAGATGCACACAGGGATAAACTGTTAAGTTGCACCTTTTGTGGGAGCACCTTAGAAAAAAAAATTAATCAGCTCCTTCACCGAAGCTTTTTTTTATAAAGAGAAATACCATTTTCATCAGGTTAGGTGATACCAAATTACCCTAAGAGATATCCTGTGTGTCATTTGTCGAATTAAGCTTACAAAAAAGTATTGCTCATATCCCCTGGATGACTTTTCAGCTGCACTAATCGGGTGGTTATGATTCCAGTTAAATAAAAGATGGTTTCCTGTTATTAGCACAATAACCATCTGACAGCCTAAACCACAGTCTTTACCAAAACAAACAAACATGACTAATTTTTTAGGCCTGGCAACATGCTAAAATATCAGCGTGATTAGCCAGTAAATCCCATTTTAAGAAACCTTTTTATGACTGGGGACTTCTGCCACTTTACAAATGTATTCCTCTAAGCCCACTAATTCAGTTAGCCTTTTCAATCCATTGTATTATTCTTGGGCCAGCTTCATTTTGCATTAAATCCACTGCAGAAAGCTAAATTGAACGCAAAAATCAGACTTGATCCAGGCTTCCTTTTGTTCAAAGATAGAGACCGAAAGTCCTCTGCTGCTGCCACACACTTTCATCACCAATTTATAGGAACCGACAGTGTAAGGGAAAAGCAATGAAAGTCATTGTTTTGGGACTTCAAAGCATCTCTGTATCTGGGGAAGGAAATCCTTTCAGTCAGCAGTGCTTTCCCCACAGACTGCAGGTGGGTGAAAAGTTATACCCAACTGGAAGTGCCCCAGAGCCAAAGGGATATTAATGACATACTGGGACTATTTTTTTTTTTTAAAGATATAGAATTGTAAGAACACAAGGGGTCTAATTAAGAAAATGAAATTGAAAATTGATTGGTGTGCATTTAATGCTGAAGTGGTGAACATTAAAATAGGCAAAATGACCACATACACCATATAATCACGTCTATTTTTCTCAGAAGCACTCATTGTCAAGCACCCAAGTGTGCACACCTTTAAAGTGTACCACGGCTTAATTTCAATAGAGAAAAAACTGAGGGTCAGGCTTGGGAAAGAAGCAAATCACTGAGGGTCCAATCCTCCTCATATCAAAGTCAGGGAGAGTCTCACTGCTGATTGCACCAGCAGCAGGATGGAGCCTGTGCTGCATTTCTGATTTAAATCACAAAACTAAGAACTAAGAGACGCTTCTTACATCTGTAAGTGTTATGCCAATGACAAGTACCAAGATCAGAGGAAAAAAAAAGGAAAAGTGTTGATTAATCAACAGGAAAACACCCCGGTGCATCACAAACTATGCAACAGCACTGCCATGAAGATTTTCTGTGTTTCTTACTGGGAAGGATTTGATAAGAAATCATTTTCCTTCTCACAAAGTAGAAACCTAAAATGAGAACGCACAGGTACTGAAACAAAAGCATTAATCAAAACTTACCTTAATGTCTTGCTCTGAGCTATCAGTTACAGCTTTCTGAGCAGCACTGGAGAGTGAATTTGCCACCTGTGGCTGAGCTTCTAGGAGCTTCTTCAGCTTCAAATCCACCAACTTACTGTTTTGTTCTGCTAAATATGCAAATACCACATACAACAGAGTGAGATGCATTTAAATGCAGAGTCGCTACAACAATGTAGCAATTTAAAACCTAGATTTAATTCACTTTGCTATCATTTCAAACTAAAGAAGTAAAAACTAGAAGGAAAATTGTATCTATTTTTTGCAATTTGGATTGGTGCAGATTTCTGTAATGTACATAGATAATTCCTAACTTTTCTCAAGAAATGCATGTAGCACTCAGCTGAGCAAGTAAATGTGCTTGAAGACAGTAGACAAAAACCACAGAAAACAGACAATGTTTAAGTTACTCTCAATCTGTACACCCGTATGTGTCAGTATAAAACCACACTTAGAAAGCCATTTATTTTAAGACGACATACAAGAATTTATCACATATTCTATGCACTGATAACCCGTCAAGTTTGTGAACTCCTAATTCATCCTACGGCTCCTTGGCACGGGTTCTCAAGTATCAAAAGAGATCATTTCCAGTAATACTTTGCTATGATTTATAGAATATGTTGAAGCTGCGGGAGCCATAAAATGCTTCATAACTGCATCAATGGGACAGATTCAAAGTCTGCCAAAGCCCCCAAATTTTTTTCATCACTTTTAGCAACTCAGATCAGAGCCCAAAGAAGAAATAGTTGAGAATTTTACCTCCCAATAATGCTCATTCTGTACGTGATCGTTGACTATATGTATTTGTAACACACCTACACACAGTTACCTACACATACACACATAATAAGGAGAAAGGTGTTAATAACAAACCACAGAGCAGATCTATGGAGCTAATCCTGGGTAGGAAAGCAGAATAACACAGAGAAGCCCCCACACATACACTCTACATGCAGTACCACATCTATGCCTTGGGTTAAATGCAGATTAAATACCAGCTGGGACACATTTCTACAGGCACAGCCTGAGTTTTTCACTGCGGGCTGGTAGACAGGCTGAGGAAGTTGGGGCTGTTCAGCCTGGAGAAGAGAAGGCTGTGTGGAGACCTCATAGCCTTCCAGTATCTGAAGGGGACCTATAGGGATGCTGGAGAGGGACTCTTCATTAGACACTGTAGTCACAGGACAAGGGGTAATGGGTTAAAACTTAAACAGGGGAAGTTTAGATTGGATATAAGGAGGAAGTTCTTTACTGTGAGGGTGGTGAGGCACTGGAATAGGTTGCCCAGGGAGGTTGTGAATGCTCCATCCCTGGCAGTGTTCAAGGCCAGGTTGGATGAGGCCTTGGGTGACATGGTTTAGTGTGAGGTGTCCCTGCCCATGGCAGGGGGGTTGGAACTTGATGATCTAAAGGTCCTTTCCAATCCTAACCATTCTATCATTGTATGACTTTTAGCTGGCATGGGAAGTGGAGCCATGACTCTTTTGCCACATAGCTCCTTCCAAGGTTTGGAGCGCTCCGATTCATATTAGCCAAAATCTTTTTGGCATGCTGGCAATCAAATGATGCCTGCCACCAGCAGCGACAGGCTGGGATGGGTTATGACGGATAGTTTCCCTTTCCTCTGGCACACCCAGTCAGGGTGTCCTTAATTGAGGCTCACATGTAAGTACATGCACATTCTCGTAGGTTTATACATAAACATCATGTAATAACTATGATATAAGAGGTTCACATTTTATCAGATGCATTCATAGCAGTGTAGGGTAGAAGTTCTGACAAATACAGACAAACACAGTACTTAAAACCAACAACTGGCAGTAAAAATAGTAATAAAAAAGGCTTTCTCTTCTTGAGAGAGATGGGAGGGACTAAGATCCAGCAGGGGGCAAATTAATTAAGATGGTCAATAATGATCCCAAATGTAAAAAGTCCCTTATAGTTTTGTGTGTAGGTGCTCCTGGGAGATTCTGCCTTCATTAGAACTTGGCATGAATTGGCAGAATTCCGCCAAAATCTGTGTACACTGATTTCTGCATTAGATTGCTTTCTGTATTATTGCCCATCCTCTTCCTTACGCATTTGTACCTCTGGCTACTGTGCCGACTGAACTGCAAAATAATGTCCCAGTTCTTCTCCAGTGTCTTCCCATGGTAGAGATGAAGTGTTGGGTAGTGGGTTTGTACCCCTGAGAAGACATCTCAGGAAAAAAAGGCCCATAGAAGTAAATGTTGGTAAGTCACGGGGGTGATGTGACAGGAATATTCATTTACTGATTCTCTGTTCCTCCTAAATTAACTCGTATTAATTGGAGTATTATTTGACAGGATTCTGCTCTAAATCAGCTTAATTCAAATGCTGGAAATACTAAATATATTTTCTTATGTGTTTGGAAATCCTCAGTAAAAAAAAGTAAAAAAAAAAAATAAAGGACATGACTCAAATCTTTCACATTCAAAGAAGACTAAAAAGTGCTATATACATATCACTGACAGTTTAATTTACAAAAAGTAAATATGAAATGAAGTGTTTTGATTTCATATATTATGGGCCACACACTTGAGTCCAGCTGGCATGGGCAGAACCACGTCAGAGGACGCTGTAAAGAAGCTGTGTCTTGTACTGCCTTTTTCCTTGATGCTGTCCTGTGCCTACCACACTTCTCTGGGCTCAAGCTAACTTGTAGTAAGCAGAAACACCCTGGCAGAGAAGCTCACCACACTACAAAGATGCCCTCAGCACTCCCCAGGGCTGCTGATAACAGGCAGCCTGGTACAGAGAACAAACTCCTTCAGCAACTCTGTGCAAGCAGAGGAGCCCCTAGCTGATGAGCATTATGTTTGTGTCTTCAAAGATCTAGCTCCTTGTAAAATAAGCATCTGCCTTGTACAATCTTGACATACTTACCATCATATTTATCACCTGAACTCCAGTTCTGCTTGATTATTTTTGAAAGGGGAAATACCACTACTATGACTTATTACCTGACCAGCATGTGATTTGATTATGGCAAGCATTTCTACAAGAATATGAATGCTTTTAAAATGTGTTACTTAAAAACCCTAGTATTTAAAATATAAAACATTATAAAGCAAATAAAGTAAGTAAAATTCCATTCGAATTTATACCTCCATGCCACCACTGGAGCAACAAGGTATAAACATACTAGCCAGTCCTTGGGAAGGAACTGGAGTGTTACCAAGTCTATGTGGACATATAAAGCCATGTTTGCTCCTCTTCACTGAGCAGATGGGCCAGGATGTCAGTGCAGAGAGCAGCAGCTGTACTCACCAAGGCGACTGCTCACTCTTCTGCCTACTTTGCTTTGCTGGGACAATCCAGGCAGGGTGCTTTCAGGTGGCTCTGCTTTACAAATTTGGCCTGGGGTCCCCTTGCCCATCAAACAAGCAAGAGAATTTAAATCTGCCATTGCTGGAAATAATGATTTTGCTGCTGATACTAAATTTCAACTAAACATGAATGCAAAATATTCAAACAGAATAAGCATTCGGTTTTAAAAGAACTGAAAAGACACAAAGGAATAAAGCTATGACAGAGAGAAGCAGCACACCAGTACTTCTATGATGATGGAGTGTTAGTCATGCAAAATACACAAAATAGCCATTATTTAAATTACCCGTTGAATCAAGGTCATTTTCTAGGTTAGTAAGCTCATCTCCACCTCCAGTAACAGAGCATTCAGGAACCTCCTCGTTAGTATCTATCTCAATATTATCATCATCCTCATCCTCATCTGTAGGAACATACAGCATTAAGGTTAGTATTTTCTTATGTACATGCACCACATCATTAAAAACAAAAAATGAATGCTTTAGAGAACAAGCTGAGTTACGATAAAAATGCAAATCATGAAATAAGTCTGGAAGCAGATTTTACTTTCTCTACTCATGGGTTTATCTTTAAACTGATGCAACTCAATATACGTACAGGGTGCTCTGCTGGAAACTCCTGTTACAATAAAGGTAGAGCCTGGCCTCAGCAGTGGCTGTTCTCTGTGCTGAATCTCTGGCTAACTCTGAAAAGCACACATGCTCTTCCTTATAACTCAAGTCAAAATAATTTTTCCTAGGCTCTCAGTTCTCTATAAAGCAGAATGGGTGCCGATGCCAGCATATGGCAGGTTTGGATAGGTTTGGCCAGCAGAAGGACCTGGTAGCTGTGGTCTCTTGGGAAAGGTGGCAGATTCAGGTACTTAGTTCCTAGCTTGGTGAGACTTGCTACTCCTTACTTTGCACAGAATATCACAGAACAGTGATCTCTGTACCTTGCTTAGGTTCTAGTCTCTGATACAAGTTGAAAAATGACCACCATGCTTAGCAAGCGCTGACCTTAGGTGTAGTAGCCAGAGCATACTCACAGATTGCTGCCTTACTGCACCACTTTGAATCAGCACTGTTTGCAAGCTACATACATTTTAAGTAAAATAATAGTTGTAATTATACTTTATATTTTTAATGGGATCTTTCTACTGTGTTTCTCAGAGCAACTTATGAATATCACTTGTAAATGAGCCCCATAATGTTTTATGAAGTAGGCGATTATTATAATTACAATTATGACGATGATGTAGGTAGATTATGGCACAGACAGAGTAAGTAACCTGAAGAAGATCAAATAGCAAGTGCTGAATTGTGAAGCAGATCCCAGAAAAAAATCCTGACTCACATTTTCAATACAAATATATAATGAAAGTCCATAAAAGCTAGATTAGTACTTCCAAAGCACATAGCTGCATTGTTTTTACTCACTTTTAAGTCTCATATCAAATGCTATCTACACTTGTTCAGACTTATATGAACGTTTTTGTCCTATGTATGCATGCATGCATGCATGTAAAAATGACAAAAAAGAGAAGGCTGGAATGTGTCTGGAGAAAGAAGATACAAAGTAACTAAAGAAACTTTAAAACACTTCACAATAAGGAAAAATACTGATTATAATTTCAGCACATTGGTACATTCAAACACCATATAAACAAAAGGGACCCTAAACATAGTACCAAGATATATACCATAATTCTGAATACCAGAAAGCTGGGGAAGTTTGAACCAGGATTGGTGCTGATCACTCATCATCTGTCACTGAAATACACCAAACTTCATCCCCAGACCTCAGTTTGCACTTCAGGCCCGCACTGCTGACATGAAGATCACACAGTTGCTTCTTTTCTTTACCTCTTTATCTCCACAGTCCCTATAATTCCCATTTTAGGAGCCAGTTGACATTTTTATATGTCTGGTACTGCTATATAACCAGCTGCTCCCTCAATTTCTCTGTAATTAATCAATGTCTTTCATAGACCTCTGCTGATTCAGGGTAAGGTTCTTGCTGCGACAGACAGGACCAAAGAAGTTTCCATTTCAGTCCTATTCAACATCTGCTGCACGTATGATGGAGCAGCAGTGTGTGAAGTAGGACCCCTGCGTTTCAGCTGGCCACCATGACTTCCCTGGGCTCCTCTCCACTAATTCTCAATGGTTTCTGGAAGAGTCAGCTTTCTTCCAAACTGCCCCAGCTTGAGCCAGATGGATGGAGAACATCTCTCCCCAGCCAAAGCAGGATCTGTGATCAGACCTGGGACCTGACAGATGGTGTTTCAGGTGTACAACTGGATGGGCACAAACACTCAGGACTCTCTACAACATCCTTTCTGTTGCAGAGAAATTCACACAGATCATTCTGTGATCTGGACTCTAGTCCAGTAGTAGTACAGAGGTTAGGTCACCAAAGTAGAAGGGCACAGTGTGATCATGGCAAAGAAAGGGACAGGGTAAAAAGCAGACTGAAGAGTTAAAAAAGAATGCTAAAGCAGCAACAGCAACAATTCTGAAGTTCTGAATTTTCTTCAAAGCATCTCTACTTTTTCTGATGAGGACCTAGACTTCTCACAAGACTTTATGATTGTGTCAGAGAAATTCAGTGGCACTCAGGCCATGGTACTCTCAAACACATCCTGGAGATCACAGTGGCACACTGAAAACATGACTGGGCTAACAGCAGCAAAGGGTCATGGATATTTGGAAGAGGTGGAAGAGAGAGAAAGAAGGGCACTGCCGTTACGAGGGGGGAAACCAAATCCACCCCAAGCCTAGAGGCAGGCAATGACTTTCCAAAGCACCCAAAGAAGTCAGCTTGCAAGGTCAGCTCACAACTACCAGTCATCCAGCAGAATGCTGGATGTGTCAAAACAAGCTAAACAAGATGACAGGGTTTAAGACCGCTGCATACTAAGGGAATGCTTAGATTAGATTATTTGATTTTCTTTAATTTAATGTAGCAAGATCAGAGGCACTGTCTTTGACACCACCATTTAAGGTAACAAAAGAGACGGGAATGTCGAAGACACCAGTTCCTAGTGTCAAACAATGACCTGACCTAGTATTTAATTTAAAGTTGGCAAGCTTTGGCTGAATATGATTATCAGGACATTTACACTTTATTAAACAAGCAAAAAAAAAAAATCAATTAAAAGCATTCATTTGAAGTAATTTCAGAAATTTTCAACTATCTTTCAAAATCTACAGATTCCTTGCTTTACACTTCCCTAGGTTTTGTGGGTTTTCTTTCCAGTTCAATGTTCTTTCAGTGTATTAAAAAGGGAAATGTGTTTAGGGAGCATGTTACAACAAGATTTTGCAATTAGAAATGATAAAAGGAACAACATAACGAAGAGATAACGTATCTTTTTATGAAAAGAACAAATTACTAGTGTGAAAAACTTAAAGCACTTGGTCTAGAACCAAGGCAAGAATTCAGAAGAGTGCTAAAGAACTGCTTCCTTGAAAAGTATGTACATGCGGATCCTAGAAAGACAGAAAAGCTTTACTATGTTGTGAAGAAACAAACAAAATTAAAGCTAAAAGGATTAAGTCAACAACTAAATAGCAATGGCCATTACCTTCACAGCCTGAACTGCAGTCTGGACTGAAGAGAGCAAAATAAGAATCTCTTGGAATCAAATAGGGATGCCAGAATATTGATGGAAAAAAGATCCAGAGGCATTTTATAGCTCTTATGTCTTAATATTCAGATCAAGCTCTGGCATAATTTGTGGTTAAACTGATATTCTCTTGACTTGGTTTAAGCTTGTCCACATGTAAAGGAGTTGCAGTAGACTGCATTCATTTCTAGATCAAATTAAAAAGGAACTATTTTCATAGAAAGGTAAAAGTATTGATGGAGTTTAGATCACATTAGTGGGAGAAGCATATATAAACTGCCTCAGAAGTTGCATGAACAGTGGTTGCTCTTTAGGGAAGATGCCTCTAGCCTCCAGGATTGTCTCTGGGAAATCCTTAAAGCATGTGGATATTCAGATATTTAGTTTATTTATTTTCAGGTACAGAGTTCACTTTTAGTCTACAGGATGTTACAGGAGCATCTGAACAGTAATAAAGGAAGCAAAGGCAGGGAATGGAAGAAATGCAGGATCTTAAGACTTATGATCAGTGTACAAGAAATCCAATGTCAGGATAAAAAAGTACAGCAGTAACTGCCAACAGACAGAAATACTGCCTGTTAAAAATATTACACTGAGGACTATGCACTGCTTTATGAGTTGGAGACTAAGCACAATCAGTAAGCCTGAGCTAGCATGTACATTTCCCCAAATCACTGCCTCTGAAGCAGAATCTGTAGCATACCCTGAAAACTTTAAGCATGCAAGTGCAAGGTAATGCCAGCTGGTGCTCTCTGGTAAGTTTTTCAATTGCACTTTTTCAGCTTTTGTTATTAATTCCAAAATTTTTCAAAACTGTTTTTTGTCTTACAATACATTTGGAAGCTCCTATTCCTGTGTTTTTCCCTCCCTGCTCATCTAGCATTTTTTTGCTGTGCTGTCTTGTGTCCATCCTCTTCGACCCTCCCAGTTCTGCCTATTTCCGGCACTTTTTACACCAAAGCTTCTTCACACTTTGCCTGTCTCACCCCCTGTCCTCTCCTTTGTTCCCTCCCTCCACTGTCTACTAACCACCTCCAGATCTAAGACACATCCTTACAAAGCCGCCATCTCAAATGAAGGATGGAGATGTGCCAGAGAGTAAAGAAAATACACTACCCAAATCCCAAAGGAGCAGACCGGTGTCCCACTGCAGAGAGACAATACCTAGATAAGATGTCAATTCATTTGTCCCGTTGCTGCTGGGAAAAGGGAGGATATTTGGATTCCTATCTTGATACTGTCCCTGGACCCATCTCAAGGCATCCATCCGCTTATCAGCCTGAAGCTAGGAGGACATCTAATAAATTTGAAGCTGCCATCCCAAACCCTCTGGCAGTTGGCAGGAGAAAGTATTTTCTGTCTCACTTGCCAAATAGCCTACGAAAAAGACTGGATTTTGTAGCAAAGGATGCTGCTTATCCAGGAAAGTTTCAACTTGCCATAGGCATTTGAGTTTTTCAGACCATGATTAAATAAAGCCTTTTAATAGAGAATGTAGCACCAGTGCCAAAGCAGGAAACTCTTAATGAACATACAGAAACACTGAAAGAGATCACATTTTCACCTGCAATGGTTAGCAAGAAGATAGTTTTTAAACCCACCAAATTCCCAAAGCTGAAATGTCACCTTTTTGTGGAATAAGTGAACCGAGAGAGAGGAAAATGATTTGGTACGTTCCCTTTTTGTAAATTAAAAAGTAGCAATCAATGCAGAAGAAGAGATTAATGAAGCATAATGGACAAGAGAGCTGGGAAGACATAAGATATTACTATAAGCTTGTCTTGGGTATTGTATAGGGAATATAGGACTATACACAGAAAAAAAACTACTACATGTGAATGCAGTCAGGGGCAATATTCAGAGTCCAGTTGTAAAAAGGAGACTGTCCATTAAATCCCAGGTTTTGGTGGAAATAACAAAATGAAAGGGAATAAACCCAGAAATAATTATAATTTATTTGGTTTATAAAGCATTGGTGCCGTTTCACAGAACTACTGCGCATCGGAAGAACGAATTTCTTGAGTGAAGATACAGCGTGGCACCTGACACTGCCAGTGGTGTGGTACAAGTACAGGGAAGATGGGCCATAAGGAAAACCTTCTGACAATGAATAAGTAGAAGGAAGTGCCATAAAATGCACACTGACGTGAAAAAAGCGAAGAGGGATAAAAAGACAGGGAAAGCTGTCCAAAAGAAGTTCCAACAGCTTGGCTGAACTACTGTATGAACAAAGAAAAATCAAGGTAGGAAATATAAACCAAGGAGGTAAGTCAAAGCGCAAGCAAAAAGCAGTGAGATTGTTATACTGGATAAAACCCCACAGGTCTAGTGGTGATAACTTCATAAACAAGTTGTCATCGGTACTGATACTGTCTCTTCCTTTAATAACACTGAAACTCTCTGAGTGCATATGCAATATATATATATAAATATTCCTTTTTTTATATATATATGTACAGTTACCTCTGAGTCTGTCTATAAACTGAACAAAGGGCAGAAAGAGCAATGGCAAAATTCAGAGGAAAATAAGAACAGTCAATGTGACAGAACAGGGTAACTATTCAGCTGAACACTCAGATATACCCAGAAAGCATACCTTACTTGGAGGAGATAGATGGCAGGAACAACTACGTACAGGCATGACAAAACAGTGAGGAGGGAGTAATTATCATGTAGGATGAGGAATCATAAATTGTGAAGAGGGATGAAGAACACCATAATCTACTTAATATACAAGTAGTGTGTCATTTTGCTCAGCGTCACTCCCTCCCCATCAAGGAGGTAATTTCCCTATTTACCACAAAAATAAATTACATGTACAAGCTTGGTTTACTGGACAAAGAGTGAAAAACTGAAGACCAGACCCAAAGGGAACTGTACAACTAACTGCTTTTCTGTTTGGTGTTATGTGGAACAGAAGTGTTAGGGTGCAGACTACATTTAAATATATATGCACATAAAAGACATACTACAGAGAAGAAAAAATACTCATTTTGAATCTACATTCGTTGTGAATGTAAAGCTGGATTTTGCTGACACTTTGGCTTACATGTTAGTATGAGAAACACAATTTCCCCTCAGAATATGTAGAAGACACTAAAAGAGCAGGAAGCCTGTACTGAAACATGTGCTCAGCACCCATTTGAGTTTGAGTGACACTACATTACTCCAGCTCGTAGCACTGGCAGGTATATGAATTTTAATGACATCTCAAAGTCAGTTTAATAACATTATATCAATATTACAACTCAAAACCTGTAAAGGCAAGTGGTATGTCAAAAGACTGCCATTTAAAATCAAAAGGTTGCTGCCCCCACCTCCCACAGTCTGCCTTTAAAATTATCTTCTCAAGCAGTCTTTTGAACACATTTCATATAAAATAATGATTTTTAAGTATTTCTAACATTGTCTTCCCCCAAATTATGTTCATGCTCCTATATAAAAATATATATGGAAAAGATTTTAATCAACAATCATGAAATTCTGCAAAACCATGGGTAACGGCAAATCTGTAAATAATGGGCCAGCTTGAGCTACTTGTTCACATAACATCTACTTCTTTCAATCACATGTATGTTTTTCTTGGAAGTGTTGGAAATTAAGTGATCACAATGGTTTATTTGGGAAACCTATCTACAGCCAGGTCTTTCGATATGTGCACCTGGTGAACAACAACGTTTTGAAGTGTGAACAGAAGTGATACCCAAAAAGGTCTCTGGTTTCTGGGTTGCCATAGGAATAAGATACAAGGCTCCTCAGCTCACCTCCAGATGCCTTTGACCTTTCTTTCAACTTTTCTGCAGCCATTTCACTGTAGCTGGGAAGTTCTGACATCTTCACTCCAGATCGAGCTTCTGCTATTAGCTGACGAGCTCTCTCTCTCAGCTGCCGACGCCGCTCTTCATCTTGCTGCTAAGATATATTGAACAGTTGCCAACTCAGTAATTGACAGAAATGCAATTTCATTCTCAATCTGATCATCATGATAGTAACTGGTTTACAGCATGGTGCTTGGCCCACATTATAAATAGGATGCTCGATATCAGTTGGGTGTCACACCACAATTTTTAAAGACATCCATCAATCAGGTTATTTTTTTTAAGCATTCCCCAAATTATTAATGGAGTGGGAACCTAATTATTTGCAATTTAAAGCATTTATAAATTATGTGATATAAAAATAACTTGATGAAAACTCTCAGACACTTCTGTTTCAAAGTAGTAACTACAAAAAGTTTTACCGTAGCTATAAAAATGGTTTTACTAAATTGAATGACTTGCTTGAGTAATATTCTCCCATAGAACTGAAATGAGAAGTCAGATGCTGCTCTCGGTTACTCCAATCACCAAGCTGACTTCAAAGAGGAAAATGACATCAAATCTGAGACATGGAAAGGAATCTAATCCTTCAGTTTCAATGGATACATCTTTTAAAAGAAAACCCTAACAAACTAATGAAGATTAATGAAAGAACAATAGATGCCAGAGCAGAATAGATTTTTGCATTGCTTTAAAACATTTTACTAGTGGGGTTTTGGTCAGTAATTAAAGAGATCATATTGGAACCATCCCAGACAGTGCTGCCCCACTAAAGCTTATGAAGCACAATATTTCAGTCACATAAATGAGCAAAGGTCCACAGCATTTCTTTCTAGAAAAGATTTATCCTGCTAAAAAAAATATTAATAAAATGACGTGTTTAAATGTATCTACAAAAATACATTAAGCCATAATGGAAACCACTTCATTGTTCACCTTAAACACTTGATTTTTTCAAAGTTAGGACTGTTTTCCCCCCCGCCCTCAATATTAGAAACACTCACAAGCACAACAGAGTTTGGCTTTAAATCAAATCTGCCAGTAAATTTATATTACTGACATAATGACCAGGATAAACCCAGGTACAGGCAGTTGACCTGAACTAAGTGGGATATAGCAAACTGCCAAATTTTGGAGAGCTGTCCTGGCAGCCTTCCCACCAACCCAAAAACTGAGCATCTCACACCTGCAGATGCTGGTGAGAGCTGCTGCTAAGTGCTATTTAGTTTAAGCAATCATTAATAAAACAAGTGCAAAATACTAATTAGGTACATTTTACCCATTTCCATGTAAATTGTTTGTTTGTAGCTATTTACTCAGCATTGTTCTTGCCACAATAGAAAAAATGCAAATGACTGAATCAGAATGCAGCCCTAATGGGACTTTCTGTTTATAACCATTAGCCCAGAGGTGTGCTGTAATTCAATCCTCCAGCAGCAAGATTTAGCCTCATTAACAGCTTGCATGGGCAGGTTACAACTCATAAAACCCTACAGTAAACAAAGTATATGGACACAGCACAGTATCTTGTCTCTGAGTGACAGAACCCTGATTCCCTATCAGATTGCCTTGATTTACTTTTCTCCTAATGTCCTTTCCCTGGAAAGACAACTCTGCCTGGGCCCTGCAAGGCAGCAGGATGGCACATTGGCTTTGTTTGCTTTCTCACCCTTTAACTTCCCAGAAGGCACAGAGCAACAGTTCTATCAGAAACTTATTTGGTAAAGTACACATTAAAAAGACAACTGGAAAGCTTCCCCCCCTGCTCCTATGCACTAAAATAGATCCATTAATTTCATTTCTAGCCAGCCAACTGGCACAGCAACTGATTTTATTTCGACCCGCGGTATTTGGTAACATTAATTACATTGAATTTTACATGAAATAAGACTGCTCAAATCTCTACTATTTGTAGTGCTATTCTACTTGTGGTTTTGACTTCAACGACTTTCAAGAAGGAATGTGCGAAATGTGTATTAAGATTCCCATGTGGTTTAACATCAAACAATTTAATATACTACAGCACATACAGTTTGAAAGAAGGCCAGTTACGTGTTTGTGACAAAAATGCCCTAAACTAAGCAGGCTGCTTCCCCCCTCTTTCTCTCCCCTCCTCCTGAAAGAGAACTTGTATCCTGAATTATTAGCATAGTCATTAACATCCCGGGGATCTCCAAGCAAACACAGATTACTGTGGCTTGTGTTTGTGCTGATTAAGCCAATCATCACCAGCGGATAAGAGAAAAAACAACCTAGTTCTTGCTTAAATTCAATTCAGGTATTTGAACCCTCAGTTACAAGGAGTTCCGCCTTGCCAGAAGAAACACTGGTGGAAGGAGAAATGAAACCGAGAGGGTTAGAAGTAGGTAGATTAAGTTCTGAGGTACAGAACAATTATTAAACAGCAAATCAATCCCCTAGATCTTGGAATGGAAGTGCTTGGGATAAGCATGGAGGCAGGAATACAGATATTAAAAAAAAGAAAGAGAGGAGACATGAACAGAAGCTCTGCACCAAGAAAGGACCATGCAAACACACACACAGCGATCTTCTTCCTGTACAGCTGAAGAGAATACTCAGTAAAGTCTTTCACTCTCTGACATGAACCTGACATGCCAAAGAGACATTAAAGTTTGCTCTGTTATTTTCCCCCAATTGCTTTGTAATGGTCTAAAGATCTGCCATGCGGACGCACAGCGAGGAAAACTTCACCATTTAAGGACAAACTCTTCACGAATAAGTAATGTAATTCCTTGTTTCCCTCCTATAAAAATGTATTGGTATGCAATTTTTATATTTCACAGTTCACCGACATCTCGGCAAGCTTTCTTCCACTGCTTCAATGGTGCTACTTTTAATTTTATCCTCCTTAGTCCTAGTAATTAAAGTGATCAGCAGTGGCATCCCAACGGCTTTGACACAGCTACAACCCCCTAGCAGACTCCGGCTTTTAAGGGGAAGGGGAAGAAAAAAAAGGACGGGAGTTTCATTTCACTGGAACAAGAAAATCAAGCTTCTCCAATCCTCAACTTTATCCAATTGTTCTTTCAGCAGCCTTTGGATCTTAAGAAACAAATAAAAATGGCTGCCATTAGGGGGTCTTTTTTGTACTCGCCGCAGACGGCAATGACTGACATTACTTTGGCCAGAAATGATGTCGTGGATTTGGGAAGGTGGATTCGAATGGGGAACACTGGAGGGGCAGCTTCCGAGATCATTACGTGGCCAGCAATGTTGTTCAGCAGCGGCAGAAGCCGGGAGCTGATCAACTCAGTAAAAGACTGAGAGCGGTGGAGTTTAAAACCCATGTCCTTAAATCACTAAAAATCCTGCAATCTTTGTGTTTTCAAATAAAACCTCAACCCCAACCCTCTGCCAGGGATTTTCAGTCATCCTTTTTGCAGAATTTTGGGAGGATCCAAACTGAGTATACACCAGAAGTCTGACAATGTGTTATCCTCTCTCTATAAAAAATGTTATCCTGTGAGCTGCATTTATTTCATGTTTAAAAAGGAATCCTTTCCTCCCAGTCTATGGACAGGGTAAAGAAAAGTGCTAAATTAGTGATACTCCACAGCAACAAAATTAAACCAGAATTGTACCTATGAGGGGGAGCTATTCCTGTGGCTGTAGGTTTCAAAATTGTCCGTGGTCTGCCCTGAGTGCACAGTACATCTAAGAGAAAGAACTTGACTGCCACCTCTTTCATCATGAGACAGGAAGAACGGCTCTGTTATTAGCCATTCAGAAAGAAAAAGACTTCTGTGCTTGTCCAGAGGCAAGGATTACCAAAATGTACCTATTCAGTTAGTAGAGAAGACAGAATCAAAAATAAAGAAAAAATAAAATTACACGAGTTTTAAAGGTTTTGGCAGGCTGGGTTTTACTGTGACCTTGATCGGCTCTTGTTTGAGTAAATAGGATTTGGGATGAAACATTAGAACTGTTTAGCAGATCTTTTCAAACCATTTCAAACTTTTCTTATGTTGGTTTATAATATAACCAGACATGCTTGTAAATGGCCACACCTGCTCATTTCTCTGGGGATGGCCTGATCTCTGCCTTTTCTAACAAAGAAAGGACGAGAGAAAAAAAATCAGCCTTTCTTGTTGCAAAACAGAGTGGAAAGTCAAAATCTTTCTCAAGTTTGTCCCATCTGGTCAGATTAAATCTTTGATCACCCTGGGGACCATATTCATGTTTGGTCTCTACTACAGTTTCAGAACAGCTCAAAATATACAGGTAGTGAGCAAAATACGAATTGCTAAGGAGGGAACATTCAACATAAACAAAAGTGCATTGACTTTGGATTTCTGTGGCTAGTCAGATTGTAGGAAGTGGTCAGCAAGGACAGACATAAACATCATAGATATTTTCTGCCTTCTGCACGGTGTCTACATCAGCTGCATTACTGCCAATAAACTGTACATAGCTTGAAAACATTTTTTTATGACTGTGTATCACAAAATATCAAATCACTTTTCATAAAGAAGCAGCTATTGGCTTATGATCTATGGCACTGATGGACTAGTAAGACAGAACGAAAACACAAGTAGCCCAGAGTCTAAAACTGCAAGAATCACAAAGAATGTCTTAACAAAGATGCCCCCCATTAAGAAAAAAACCTCCCCAAATTCACAATAAAATGGGATTTTGTGGCTGTAAAATGGAAAAAATCTCCTTAAACCTAGGAGGAATTTTTAAAGAAATATTAGCCAGCAATTTTTTATTTCTCTTTTAAAAGAAATATAATCCATGTTGTTCTGGAAAATCTATACAGTTCATTTGGTACAGTATTTCTGGTGTGAGGAATGCTGGCTGTAGAAAAGCAACCCATTGATAATTTAATTCCTTGTGTCATTGTGAAATTGAGAAGCTCTAAGGATACTGAATGGAAAAAAAAATATGTATTTGAAAAAAAGAATGGCTGACTAAGTAAGTATCACCTTGTGCTACATCCAAGGCCTCTTGCTGGTTGTCTGGCTGCTCTTTTGTAGGCAAAAAGGAGCTGAACGCTCTCTGGCTCCTTAGATCTGGCCCAACAAATGCACTGCCAGTCATGCACATGGATCCAGCTTAAAACCCAGTGTGAGC